TTTTTTTTTTGGTTTTGTTTTGTTTTTTTTTTGCTATTTCAGGCCACACAGAGTAGGATTCTTTCTTTTATTCTCTAGGGTAAAGGAAAGAAGGGGTTGGGGGGCAGGTATCCTGTCTTCTTCTTGGGAAGCAGGGGAAGATACAGAACGCTTGGGTTGTGAATGGCTCAGGTGAATATGTTAAGGAGGGAGCAGTGAATCCTGGGTAGCAATGGCAGTAGGGAAGGCTGAGGGCAGATGCAGGAAAGCCAGAAGCCCAGAAAACTGCCAAGTTGTGGGAACTTCAATGCCTCAGGGCCTTGAGGAAGGCGTTGGGTTTCATCAGATACAATGAGGGCACTTGCAACCCAATTGTTTCTGTGAGTGCGCGTGCACACACACACACACACACAGTTGTCCTAAGAATAAGAACACAAATGATCACGCTATGCTTTTTCTGCAGAATGTTAAGACGGTTGTCAGTGTTAAAATGCCCATCGCTACTGCTGGTCTCCACTGTCTTTAGGTCATCTTACTCCTCTCTCTGTCTCTAGGCCAACTTGGCAGCAGGATCACCTCCTTGGCAGCAATCTGAGTTTCTGTCAAGATGAACAGATGTCCTATTTCGGAGTATCCCGGGGGACAGGGGTAGTCTGGGGAGGAAGAGCCACGGCTCCAGGGAGGGCGGGACTCTGGTGTGGGAGCCCTGCGTGGCTCGCGGCCACATCACCCACTCTGCTTAGCTGTGCTTCTCAGCGCAGGGGACCCTTCGGCCCTCGGAAACGACTTCTCCCGTGTGGAAATGGCATTATCTTCACCCACTGGACTTCAAAGAGAGAAAGCAGCCAGTATCCTGGGAAGCTAATCGGATTTATTTGGTTCTATCTTTCCCCTGGGACAGGGCGTAAGGAAGATATTTATGTATCTACATCTCACTAGGCCTGGTTTAGCCATGGAGGGAGATGAGCTTTTAGAGCTGAAAGCCATACACACTCCCACGCACGCCCGCTTGCTAACACCATGTCGCAGCTTGATCCGGCCCAGGGAGGCAGAGCTTTGGGGGGCCCCATCACAGATCGGCTGTGCTCTGCACGGTGGAAAGGTTTGGCTCATAACCTTAAAAGAGCTCAAGAGATGGTTCAGTTGAAATTCAGTTTCCTCATCTATAAAATGGGGCCAGAAATACCTGACAGGCCTAGATGGCTTAAAAGAGGCCTACGAAAGAATGTTGTAAATGGCAATAAACCGGATTAACAACATGAATATCACTGTGTGTTTCTTGTGTGTGCATGTGTGTGCGTCTGTGTGTGTGGGGGGGGAATGCAGGATCAGAGGCTGTCGACTTACTCACAGTCAGCCTGGGGAACATTTTACTCTGAGTCATGCCTTCTGCATGTATCTGATGATCTTAGGAAAATTGCTTAACTACCTAAACCTCTGTTTACTCATCTGTAATAGAACCCATTTCATAGAGTAGACTAAATGAGATTTTATGTATGTAGAAAATGTTGCATATATAATAAGCACTCAATAAATGTTCACTACCAATATTTTTATTTTGAATTAGGTACTTTCTTGTCAAGCCTAAGCGTGGACTTGGTCCATCAGACCTCTGGAAAGAAGTAGGCAGATTTACCTCATGTGCCGGCTGGCCGTGTATCTGTAAGTGGGACTCCACGGGAGCCTCCCCATCTGGGGAGATGGATTTGTACCAGTCCCTGCCTACCCCGAACCCTCACAACCAAAGAGCATAAAGCCAGATTGGGATCTGGCCGGCAAGTGTGGCTGTGGCCACGGAGACAAGCAAGCTAACTGGCTCTGATTTTCTGCAGAAAGCATACTGTCCTCAGCTCTTTTGGATGCCGGAGTTCTCTGTAGCCTTGGGCAAAAAACCTAAATTTTTAGCATGTTGGTTACTACATGTGTCAAATATGAATTATGTGAAACTGCAGGTCTGTTTCAAGAATCAGTTGAGATGCCACATGTCCGTGACTCTCAATCTTTAGACTCATTTGGGATGAGGCCCAAGAATTTGAAAATTTTTTTTAAGATTTTATTTATTTGAGAGAGAGAGAGATCACAGAGGCAGAGGGAGAGGGAGAAGCAGACTCCCCGCTGAGCAGAGAGCCCGATGCGGGGCTGGATCCCAGGACCCTGGGATGATGACCTGAGCCAAAGGCAGCCGCTTAACCGACTGAGCCACCCAGGTACCCCAAGACTTTGAATTTCCAACAAGTACACAGGTGATGCTGATGTTACTGGTCCCCCTACCCTGACATATATGCTTTGAGAACTCTCGGCACATTTGAGAGAATTACAAACGTGTGCTACATTAATGTTCCGTATACATCAATGGAGCTTATCAGTTACGTATTGTTTCAAGGAAATGGACATAAACTTTTGATTCAGAGTTAGGGGGCCCTTGCTGGACATATGAAAGAGATATTCTAGGACCCCCAAAGAGGTACCTAAGGGATTTTCAATCCCCAGAAAAACCTAAAGACATCAGATCAGACTCCTAATACAGTAAAGAACACCTCACCCAAGCTGGACGTGTGTGCTTCTGCTGTTGCCCACATTTTCGGGAATGGGCTCCCCAGAAGCAGAGCTTTGGACGGAAAAGAGCAGGGCCTGGGAGCTATTTGCTGGGAAGGGATGAGTGAATGGCTGTGGCCAAGAGCTCTGGCAGTATTCAAGGCAGCTGAGGAAGTGGCCCTCACAAGCTTCCTGGGAACCTGAACTGATTTTCTTTCCTGGGCGAAGTCAGGAGCCGGACACAGACCAGACTTCCATCCCCGACCTCCAGAGAGCCAAGCCCCAGGCCCGCATCAGGGGCCTGTGCTTATCAGCAGTAGGAGAATGGCAGTCCGGCCCAGTCCCACTCGGGAGAGGCGGGGACTTGAGCGGGGAGCGTCCCAAGCAACAGACATTCAAGAAAGAAAGTGAAACTAATAGGAGGTGAGAAGCCTTTGGGGTTTCCCCCCAGGCCTCCTTCAGTATTCACTCAATCCCGAGTGGCCAGGTGGCAACAGCTTCTCTTAGGCCCAGCTCTCTGGAACATTTCAGTCTCTCCCCCGTGGCTGAGAGGGAACCCTGTTCTAGTGACTTCTAAAGGGCACGAAGGGAGGCCGGCATGTTTCCAATTAGCCTTCTGGCCTCCACACCCCGGCAGAGTTTATTTGTCTTGCTCTGTGTGCCACTCCTCTGGCCCTCGCTCCAGCTGCAGGCCCCTTTCAGCCTTGGCTTTGGGTTTCTCTCTGCCCGAGGGGGAGCCCCTGGAAGAAAACTTTCTCGTCTAGATCTGCACTTCACTCTCTCTCTCTCTCTCTGTCTGCATTTTGTGGTCGGCCTCACTTTATTTTATTAAGGAACTTAGAAGTTTAGAAGAGGCCCATGTGAAGGTCGGTTTCTGAGACCCTTTATCACCATCTTTTCACGGCCAGGCCTTTGCTTCTGAGCAGCCCCGTCTGTGGCTTCTGCTGTTCCTGGTCCGCCTCGCCTCCCTTCGCCATTCTTCTGTCGACTCCCCAGCTGTGTTAACCACCCTCCACTCCATCCCTGCAGCCCTTGGGTCCTATCCTCTGAGTAAGAAGACTGGCCTGAAAGCAGTTCCATACTCTTGCACAATCCCAGGGCTGGGATTAATTTGCAGTGTCCACTAAGACCAGGGTAGATCTTGCAGGCCAGCTACATCAAAGCACACCAACTGGCTGGAGGGAAATCTTTTTCTGAAAGGTTTTCAGGGCACTAGATAACTGTGTCCATCACTCTGGGGCACCTGCAGATGGCCTGTCTTAAATACCACCTGTGGATACCATCTATGTTTCTCTCTTTCAAGATGGGCCCATTTTTACATTTTTCTGGCTGAACGTAACACGTATTATTTCAGAAACTCAGAAGAATTCAAGGCCATGGGTGTGTGTTTGAGAAACAGTTCAAGGCCTACTATATTCTTATTTAATTTTTTTTTTTTTTTTTACCTTTTGAGGTATAATTGACAAATGAAATTGTAAGGTATTTAAAGTATGCACCATGATGATTTGAAATATGTATATCAAGGTCTACTTTCTTATGTTTATTCATGGAAACAACTAGCATTTCTATCAAGATTAGGAGACACAGAAGACTCTGTTTCTTCTTTTTTTCCCATAAGACTCTATTTCTTGAAATCATGGACAAATGTATCCAAGGAACCCTTCCTATCAATGGCATTTGGGTAAAGTGGCCATTCCTTCCTTCTTTCACGCATGCATTCTGCAAACATTCACTGAAGAAGACACTGAGGATTTAAAGGTAAGATGTAGCCGTTGCCTTCAAGAAGCTTCTAGTCTACTGCAATGGCGACAGGTGTATGGAAAGAGTACAGTAAAATATGCATATGCTATGTTGTTGCTCATTTACGTTTGCGGATTTTCTAAAAGGTGGAAGAAGAGGGGAACGTGTGTATGCACACGTGTGCAACTTGTATGAATACATAGGCCTCTACAGTCGTTCAAACCCAACCTACTGGCCATGCTGTGGTGTGAAAAACAAACACGAGAAAGGGAAATTGACCAAGCAGGCTTCATTTTCCTAAGGCATGCTGTGAATGTGTACGAAAGTCAACATCAGTAGATAACCATCGGATGTGATATTCCTTGGAAAGACAAGCAATTTGATATTTCACGGTGTTGATAACAAAGGTGGGTCAGGCCTTGGGGATGGAACACTGATTGTATAATAAGCTGGGACTTTTAGCAAGGCCTGGTTCTTTTCACCAGCTGAATTTCCTTCTCTTTCTGGAAGGCCACCCACCCAGTCATACATCAGAGTCAAAGAATCATTGAAACTTGGAGTTGGAAGAGAGGTTGGCATGAAAGAATGGTTGAGAGTGAATGTTCTGTTGAATTGGACTATGTCTGCAGCCAAGCAAAGGGCTAAGACTCAAAGAATCAATGTCATTCACTGCCCTCTTCTAGACAATGGAGTCTGGTTGGTTGGATATGTCCTCTCAGCTTTTAGTCTCAACCCTCAGTTCCCCTCAAGCCTTTGAATGTAGAGAGTCTTAAGAGTCTAGAAGAGACAGCACATTTCTCTGCTTCTGGGGTATTTTCTACCACTTTTTTTTTTTTTTTTTTTTGCGTTTTATAATAATGGGGCTTTCTAACATATAGAATCTCTGGGAAGAAGACCAAGATGGGTCAGGGCAAGGAGATGGCCAAGCCACTGGACTGCCCATCTGAAAAGGGAGGGCCACTCAGACTCGCTGGGAAACATCACCATGCCAAGGTGAGCCTTGCTTACCTCTGAAATATTGATCCGGCCCTCCTGGAAGGAGCAAGTGGTGGGGTCGTGAGTGCAGAGGTTCCGGTATTTGCACCAATGGCAGCGGAAGGCGCTGTTGACGCAAGACAGGCACCTGCAAGGATGGAGATAGTAAGAGGCAAAGAGAAGGGAGCACACAGGGAAGGTAAGGGTGCCAGGTAGCCCATGTGTCATGATGGAAGTCGGTTATCCTAGTCTCTCTCTCAGGAGAGCTGATTATTTACATTTCCAGGAATTTTGCAAGTGGTTGGCATCATGTTTATAGCTTGGAATCAGCCACGGACAGAGTATTTACACCATAGAAATTGGCAAATGCTACATACTAGGGTTTTTTCCTTGATTGCTGGTAGTTAAATATTTACCAGCACCCCACCACTAATAAGAGAATAGCTTGGAAGACATAAGACAGAAAAGCACGGGGATAGAAATTGGGCAGATAGGATTCCAGGCTCGCCACTGCCACTGGGGTCACCTTGAGTAAGTCACTTCACTTTCTGCATTGGAAGTTCTTCATCAGTCTGTAATAAAACTTTCCCGTCTGCTCCACAGGGCTGTTGAGCATCAAACAAGATAATGTGTCGGAAATGGTTTTGAAAGGTACAATGTTAAATGTGAGTGTTATTTTCAAGTGCTTAAATTACCTGTTATTTCAAGCTTTTAAGTCACATTAGGTGTCAACGACTAGTTCAACCACCTGTGTTTCTGGGCTTTGGGGGAGTTAACAATATTAAATGGCAATTTTGTCTCACTCTCCAAGTAGCCAGGCATAGGCAGTAATATGTGTGTGGCTCATGCATTTCTTGCCAGGGTAAGTGCTTCTTTCCCTCTAGTTTTACCTGGGGGCTGTGTGTGACCAGACCATTAAAATGCCAGCGCCCCTAATCTAGCCTTTGACAACTAGACCAACCTGGAAGGGACACAGCCGGCTCTGCGATCTGGCGCCATCTGGTGGGCATTCTCTTTACATTTAGGTGGATGGGTCTCCATCCAGGGGGTGACTGGCTAATTTGCCACCCTGTTTTGGGTGCATTAGCACATCTACACCTCATCTTCCCCATGCTGATCAGTCTTATCCCCTTCCAGATATGCCCAAAATGACTGTGTTTCTGAGCTTAGGCCAGACTGACTGGTTCTTGCTAATATCTTATGATTCAGCAAGTAAATAATGAAAATGGACCAAGAATGATGAGATGGGGTTCTAAGCCTGGCTTTTCCACTGGCTAATTTTGTGACCTTCGCTGCAGCACTTATCCCCTGTGGGCCTCAGTTTACCATATTAAAAGCAGGGGATTGAACTTGATTCTGTGACTTTTTGCTATGGATGCCAGGAGTGGAGTAGGGGTAAGATAGTGTTTAGAAATAAAATGGAATCTTTGCTGTCAAGGAGACCTGCCTTTTTTTTGGCTAAAACTTACTGCCTGTGACTGCATTTCTGTTGCCATAGCAATGCAAAGTGGTGACATCACACCGAACTGCCATGGAGATGAGGATGCTCTCACAAACAATGAATTCTATCACCACTGTGTTGGAGTTTAGAAGGAGGTTGGGAGTTTCTTTCTCCAAGATGCTTGCATTTTCCTCAACAGGGTTAGCTGGGATTGGGACGCCGTGGTTAGTGGGCAATTTTGTTTATTTCAGCTTCTGCACTTACTGCCCTGCCCCCGCCCCAGGCCATTTTTACCACTTGTCCTGTGTTTCTCGGCACATCTATTGACTTATTCCAATGGGGCTCAACTGTGTCTCCTTTCTTAACTACTTCGGAGATCCTACAGTTCCAGCAGCTGATTCCCGTCATAAAAATCAAGATCAGAGGAGGGGAGGCTCGGGAGGACTGACTCATTTGTCTCTTTTAATGGCTAAAGATTCCTTTCAGGGATAGCTGCAAACAGACCCTCTCCCCATGTGGATTGCTGAGCCCATCTTGTCCATAGCCTGGACCCTACAGACATGATGCCTTGGAGTTATGCAGACCTCAGAGTATTCCTGTCCTAAGAAATGGGAAGGATGGGTCCATAGACTATCCCCAGTGATTGCTCCCTCTGGTGTGCAGTTGTTGCTTGATATCTCTATCCTTGTGGAATGTTCATGGTCACTGGTCCAGTGGCCTTTATGTGGCCCTATTACAGAGACCTATTTCCCTCTTTCTAAACCAGGCGGTATAGAGTTCCCAGTTTGTATGCAAGGAGTCTCAGTTTCTCTTCCAGCGAAGACAGAAACTAAATATGGGTCTCTATTCCTGCCCAGCTGTAGAAGTTCTTAGCTTGTGGGCACCAGTGGTAAGTGTCCCACTGCTGGAGATGGCTGGTGAGGTCAGCTGGGCTCTACTCAAGCCCCTCTAGAGGCCGCCGGTTTCCCCCTCCTCTTTAAAAAGTCAAAGGCTGGGTCTGGATCCAGTGGAGTGAAAGTCTCCTCTCCCCCTCCCAGCCTGGGGCCCTTATGGCATGTCCTCCTCTCGGGTAGCTGTGTGCATAGCTGCCTTTTACCTCCGGGTCCCTCTCCGCTTGCTCATGGAGGATGTGTCTAAACTCCATTCACTGTCTATCTCTACGTTCAAAGCCACCACCAACTGGTCTAAAATGGAGAACTTTTCTTATGGTCCTTGGACCACGACCTTCGTCTTCATGTCAAACTTTCTTTTTACCGTCTTAGCTTGAGAATTGGGGGTAGGGTTGTAGGGGGGTCAGGCAAGGGAGTCTGGATGAGATCAGAGGCTGTGGACAGTGAATGCCATTCTGTTTAATATTACTGAATAAACTGAACAGAACTGAAAAGGAACATTTATGGAGAGCTTACTCTGTCCCAGACAGTGTGCCCCGTCCCGTGGGGAGACTGAGAGGTGAAACCAACATGGCTGGAGCTTAGAGAACCCCCCACACCCGTATCCAGGCCCCGGGATGCTTACAGTTGGTGGGCACTGCAGTTGTAGAACTTGAACTCGGTGCTGACAAATATCTTCCCTGTCTCCTTGGATCTCAGCTGCAGCTCTAGCCCAAACCAGTCTGGGGGAAAAAAAGGAGAGGGTAACAACCTGGGCGCCCAGTGGAGAATCTGAGGGTAATCCATGAAGCCACTCCAGGGCTCTCTTGGGGCACAGATGGTAGATGAAAACTGCCTGAGAGTCCCTTTGGTCCTGTTGAGACACCCGTCACTGGGACCCAGCCACCCCCACTTCCCCTTTTAGGGGAAACGGAATGAATCACATCCCACAGAAACCCTTGCTTTGGTCAGGCATGTTCAGTTACTGAAAGACTTTCAGAAATACTAGGCCAGAACCCCTCAAACCCCCAGTTCCATGGAGAGACCACTGAAAATCACTGGCTGGAGCCACTGATATTCCTTGAAGGGAAGGGAAGTCTGGAAAAACTCTCTGCACATGGTGAAGACTTAACCCAAGTTGGAGCAAGGGATTTCCTTCTTTCTGAATTTTGCTCTGGGGCATGACAAGGAGCTTTCAAACTCAAACAAGTTACATAAGCCCACGTTAGCATCTGCGATATGAAGGCTCGGGCAGGCAACTTTGGTGCTGGTACTCGCCACCCCATCCCCTGCGCCCTCTACTTGCTACCCCTTCCACTGTGTACTCTACTCTTGACCATTCTGGTAGGGCAGCCCCTGGCATGTGACTTTCATGGCGCTCACTTCTTACCTTGATCCAGAGGGATGACAGGGACATCCTTGGGCCCTGGTGAGATGCAGATGACCTGGCTCCCAGACACCTGTCCCTCCACCTCGGTCAGGTTCCCAAAGGCACAGGAGATGCCCACAGACAGGTCAGGAGCATCACTCACAACCAGGCTGAGCTGTGGGAGGAGAAAAGAGGCTCAGGAGCAAAAAACGATGCCATAGGAAGAATCCTAAGGGCTCCGGAGACCAGAGCTCCAGGCCTGGCCCTGCTGTGGCCTGCTTGCGGACTAATGTCCCCTGAGCTCATCTCTAAGGAAGGACATTGGTCTAGTGATCTTCTGGCTTTGACAATTGCAAGAGTGCAGAGTCAGTGGGTCTTTATTAATATCACTGTGCATTTATTTTTCAGTCTTGGCCAGCATCAGAAAGGACTGGGTGAGGGGGCCTAGAGGGAAAGGTACCAAAATCCACCTCAGACCTCGTCATTCTGACATGAAACCATGACCCTGGAAAGCAAATCACGAGCTGAGCCCTTTGCAAACAAGCCTTAACACTGGTTTACCGATCTCGAGGTCTACCAGGTTGGCGGGAGACAGTGAGCTCCTCACCCTGGCTATGATTCAGGCGCTGCTTATCAGGATGCCAAGTGTCCTAGGGTTTCTGCCTCTCTGTCCTCCCAACCCCAGGCGCCCTGCTTGCTGACAGCCCCCCTCCAGTAGGGCAGTGGCTTCACAAGGAGCTGCGGGGACCAGAGAAAGCAAGGAACGTGGACACCAACGGCTCGGATGATGTCTGCTGCTGCCTATGGATTCCAGTGATCTAGGCCAGCACTTTCCGGCTTTTTCAAGTTTGCATACCATCCTTTGAATGGTAAAAATACCACTGACGGCCAGAAATGAGTTTGTTCGCAATGACCACAATAGAACATCTAAGTGATATTTGACACAATAGATAAAAAATGCCCCTGGCCTCCTCTAGCAACAGGGGGTGACCATAAGGGTTCATGGCAACAATACCCGCCCCCCCCAGAGCCTTCAAGTTGGGAGCCACAGTGTAGGTAGGTCTCCCATTGTCTTCCTAACAACACCTGGCTGTATTTATTTGCAGAGGTTTCTCACTCACAATGAGTGTCACCTAGCCTCTCCAAACATTTGTTTGCTGCTGAATCCCTGCCCCAGTTTCGTTTCCATGGGGCCAAGAGACTTAGGTACAAACTCCCCTATTTGTTCCCTCGGCTCCCTGGGAGCCAAAACCTCCTGGTGGGGGTGAATGAACAGAAATCTTGGAAGGTTCATTAACTAATTAACATCCGTAAATGCTCACAAAACCTTCAGAATGAAATAATCGTGCAGGACCTAAGGACATGAAATATTTGGGGTTGTACCTCGACAGGTGGTTAAGGGTTGTTTTATTCTCTTTAATATTCTCTTCAAGTACATACCGACTGTTACTTAAGCCTCAGTCTCTTTGTCTCTGTCTGTCTCTCCTCTCTCTCTCTCTCTCTCTCACACACACACACACACACACACACACACACAAAGGCAACTCTAAGGTCTGTGTGAAAAACCGCATGAGATAGAGGAATGTAAATAGAGCATATAACAAACAATGTGTTATTTAGTATCGGATTGCACTATGTTGTAAATGTTTGTTACTAAATGCAGAATCTAGATTTACAAAACAGATCAATGGGTAATGAGTTTGCAGGGAATACAGAGAATGACTGTGCCCTTTACAATAGGAGCTACCATAGATTTTGTATAAACACAGTTTCCTTGGAGCATTTCAAGTGTGATCCAGTGACAGATACACGTGGAAGTGTTGAAGGAACATGCGCACACCACGTGTGTGCTCTGTGCTCCCCACCAGCCCCCGGGATACGTTTCTTACCCGCCGACTGTGTTCAGACACTGAGATGCTGCTGGGATGCACCTCGAGGCTCATGCACTGGCTGATGCTGGCTGCAAATCGATTAGGTTCCCAGGCCCTCTGGCACTTGTCCCTGCGGGAGCACCTGCCACAGACACAGATGCACAAGAGGTCAGGCCTCTGAGACCCATCTGTTTGGCTCCACTGTCCCCTGGAGGTGGGGGGGTTAAGAGGGGTTTGCTGCTCTGAGGCTCTTGGCTTGTCTTCTCATTACACTTTTCACTTACCCCAGAGGGCTTCGGTGACTCCCAGATGGTCCTGATCACAGGTAAACACAGACTAAGAGGGAGTTGGATTAACCCCCAATATGAGAGGTACAGTTTAGACATAAAGAATAGCTCCTGGGGGCGCCTGGGTGGCTCAGTCGGTTAAGCGTCTGCCTTCGGCTCAGGTCATGATCTCAGGGTCCTGGGATCGAGCCCCGCATGGGGCTTCCTGCTCAGCCAGGAGCCTGCTTCTCCCTCTCCTCCCTGCTCCTGCTCTCTGTCGCTATCTCTGTCTCTCTCTTTCAAATAAATAAATAAAATCTTAAAAAAAAAAAAAAAAAGAACCTCCAACTCTTGATTTTGGCTCAGGTCATGATCTCAAAGTCCTGAGATGGAGCCCTGCGTGGGGCTCCATGCTCAGCGGGGCGTCTGCTTGAGATTCTCTCTCTCTTTCTCCCTTTGCCCCTCTCCCTGCTCCCTTGCTCTCACGATCACTCTCTCAAATAAATAAATAACTCTTAAAAAAAAAAGAAAATGGCTTTTTAGCCCTTATAATAATAATATTAATGATGATGACTATTAATGTTATTATTCTACTCCAAAAAGATGTCAGACGCGGGACAGGTCTTCACCGTGTGGGACAGCGTGCATGTGATCTTGTGGCTGGACTCATGGCTCTCTGAAGGCAGGGGCCATGTTTTATTCATTGAGATATTCTCCCTGTCACATGCTATATTTTAAATAAGTATTTGCGGTGTGAAATAATGCCTGGAGACAAAGAGGCAGCCCAGGAGGGGCAGCCAGGGCTGCCTCCGTCAGAAAGCCGTGTGGCCGTCTCTCCCAACAGCTTCATCTCTGCCCGGGCGGCAGGTGGGCATGGTGACGCCTGCATGCAAGAGCATCTTCTCGCCACCTGTGTCACATGGGAACACACTCCAGGGCTGGTGCTTCTCCAGACCAACTAGCCCCTGACATACCACAAGATGCCACAATCAGGCAGTGATTCCTACCCAAAGTCCCCCCGCCCCTCCCCTCTTCCTTTCCAGGCACATAATGGATCTAAATATGAATGCTGTCAAAGAAAAGAATTATTGAGGTTTAAGTGAATCCTTAAGATAGCTCTAAAGTGAGCTCTTGACTGGAGCCTTTATCTCATTGACTCGCTGAAATGGCTCTTTTTTATCATACTATTTATGGCAACAGCCCTAACAGAGATAAATAGCCTCGGAGACACTGACACACTTGCAGGAGCAAGGCAAACAGAAGAGACAGGAGGGTTTCAAATCCCCCCGGATCCAGAGCCTCTTCAGCAGTCTCCCTGGGCCCCTGCCTCCAGTCCAGCGTGTGGGCCCGGGAACTGCAAGTGGGCCCGTCAACGCCTTCCCGTTACCGAGGCAGGCCCCTGGGGGCGGGTGCGAGGGCATGGCAGGAGGGCTGCTGACCACCAGAAGGACCTAAGAGGAGAAAGCTCTGGGTGGAAAGAGGAAGAAGTTCGTTCCTAAGCGCTCTTGGCAGGCAGAGTGGCTGGAAGGAGAGGTGTGCCCCATAGGTGGGAGGGCTTCCCTGCCACAGGTAGGGAGTTCAGAGGACAGAGGAAATCGGAGACCATCCTGATGCCACAGCCCACCCAGACAGGAGGATGACAGGGGTGGTGTGGGGCCACCGGGAGACTCGAGCACTGTGATAGGTTAATAGGCTCAAGCACAAGCCGGGGAACACGGTTGTCCTTGCTGTTGAATTAATGACAATCCCCCATCTGTAAGGGGTGTGTTCCACCTGTGAGAAGAGCCACTGGCTCAGAGGCTGGGAGGGCAGGGCAGGGAGCAGGGGAGTGGGGGGTGTGGCTGGGCATGCGCACTGCACAAGGAGAGGGCAGGTAGCCTGGGACACTTTGCACGGAGTGGGGGCAGCAGTCAGGGTCCTGGGAGGAAGAAATCCTCCTGATGAGAGATTCAGCTGGCTGGCCCATCAGCCGCACTGAGGGGAAACACATGGCTATCCACCTCTGCGATTCCTGGGCCATCCGCATCTTGTCTGACCGAAACGGCGACTCACTGCCTTGGTTCTGGCAAGAACATTTTCTGCAAAACTTCTTGAGGAGAGTCTCTTACCTCCAAACCCAAGCAGGGAACCCAGTAGTTGTGGGCTCAAATCCAGTCCAGATTTTGTATCTGTGAGGCGCCTGCTTCCCTCCCTCCCTCCCTAGCCCTTGCAACACCTGCTGCAGAGGCTGGAAGCCAAGAGCTATTGTGCAGGACCCTGAACTCTGGCCCCCCGCCCCCTCCGCCTCCACCCCAAACCCAGCACATTTCATGGAGATGCGCTGCTGGCTGGCACTGAGCCACGGAGCTTCCAACTCCACTGGGGAACAGAATTCCCAGCCAGGTCCCGCCTTTGGGTTTTCACCCTCTTCTCTCCCTCCGAGGCCCTTCAAATTAGGAAGTTTAAGTGTGATTTTGCATTTCTATTGAGCTGGTATTCAATGGCCAGGATGTATCTGAATAGGGGTGTGAGGCTAGTTAGAATGAGATGCAGACTTCTTAAAATCATGAATTAATGAGGCCAGAAGGGTCCTCCCAAAGGTTCAGAGTTCATAATAATTATTTTGATTTGTATAGCCTATTCTGGGCTTCCTTATTTCCAAAGCATTTATTATTTCATTTAATCCTCACAGTGTACCTGCGAGGTAGGCATTAGCCCTATTCAGCGCTGGGGAAGTGGAGGCCCAGAGTTGTCAGTGACCATCCAGGGTCACACAGCAGCTCACTGGAGTCCCTCACCCTCCACCCGCCCCCCCAACAGTGCACTACCATCTGCACGCTGGTGGCAGGATGCACTGAGGAGGTTCTGGGCAAACCTAGAGAATTCTACAGCTTCCCTGGTGAGTTCTTCTGGTACCACCACCCTTCCCAGTGTTGACAAGGTGCAGACGCGGGAGCAGCCGGGAGGGCAGAATTTAGAAGTGAAATGAGAGGCAAAGGTACGACACTGGGAAAGAAGGACCCCTGCCCGCCCGTGGCCTCTCTTCCTGCTCTCCAACCTAGATGAAAATTATTGGAAATTCCCCTTGCCCTGGAAACCACGGTCTCATCCTCATCAACAGTCCCAGGAAAACACCTGGTCATCTGCAGTCCAGGCCTGTTTTCAGAACGATCCCCAACTTACATATTGTGCAGGGCACACCAGCCACAGTGAGGGTCCCCCGAGCTCAGACATTCCCCACAGGTCGTGTACTGCTCACAGGATTCCACGGGGACCCTGGTGATCTGGCAGAGAGATGAAAGAGAGCACAGTTAGATCAGGGAGTGATGCCTGGCTGATGTGTGTTCACACTCACCTACACCTACCTGCAGTTACCCTGTCACCGCCCCTAAAGAGGTGACACTGGGCGGGGGCGGGGGGCAGGAGTCAATGGCCTCTCTCACTTGTTTGCCTGGTGCAATGGGGGTACAGCTAAGGGAATGTGTTTCTGGGGTGGCTGGCCCAAGGCTGCTTCTTGCCTTCACCAGGGGCAGAAGCAAATCTTCCTGTCTCTATCTGCCCACCACTCAAGTCCTTTTGAGAGCTGGCCATGTTCGTGAAAATGGTTAACTCCGTTGAAAGCCTATTGAGTGCCACCAACTTGTCTCTGAAGGGCTTTCAGCTGGGCTTGGGCTGAGACATCCTGCCCACACAGAAAACATTTAAAAAGGGAGAGAAGGAGAAACTATTCCTATCCAATAATATTCATCGTATGGCACGGTCTCTTTACGTCCAACCAAACATACCACCTGGATCCAATTATCCCATTCTCTGATGTCTGCATTCAATTTTTTCTAGTAAATCTAACATCCTTTGAAAAGTCTGGCTAAATGGGAACATCCACAGAGATGAGCTGCCTGTCTGAGTCCGTCTTGCTGGGGAAAGTGGGAATTTACAGATCAAGTCCCTGCCCCCCACCCCAAGGATGCAGCCCCAGCGAACTCCTGCCAGTTGCCCCGTGGGGCCCTGCAGGGCCTTGAGATGGGCCTGTTTGGACCCGACACCACCACCTGTCCGCGTGTGACGTTCAGGCCAGGTAAGGGGGTCAGAAGATTGAAGTCTTCCATTTGCGATACTAGGTACTGCTGCGGGTTGGAGCCGGAGGCTGCTGGGCTGCAAAACCATTTGCTGGGCTGGGGCTGGGCTCTCCTTTGTCAGGGCAGAGAGGTCCCCCACCCACCGGATGTGTGATCGCAAGTGCAAACCCACAACCCAGGGTCCAGCCACATGGTGTCCTGCCTCCGGGCAGAGCAACAAAGGATCTGCCCGAGACACTTTCACAGCATCCTCCTGAGAGGCTTCGGAGTTTAACATGCTTATCTAGCAAATCTTTATCAGATGTCACCACAGCGAGGCTCCAGTGCTATGTGAGAGGGAAATACCAGCCATCAGGACACAGAGCCTGCCCCGCAGAGCTCAGAGTCCAGGGGGAGTTGGTAACTGCAATGCTGGAGCTCCTCGCCTGGGACAGGCGTGAACTTGGAGGAGGGGTGCCCAGGACAAGCTGTCGGGGAAGCGGCCGCTGGACGCTGGAGAAAGCGTGAGTCAGGGTAGGAGAGAGCTGCTGCAGAGACACGGAAGGGCACGGCATGCTCAGTGATTATCACAAGCCAAAGTCATCGTGGACAAGTTCAGCAGAACTCAAGGGTGTAGCCTGGCTGGGGCGGGGTGAGATGTCAGGGCACGTACTCCCGGGCCAGACGATGAAAGGTCTCGTGCACCAGCTCCGGGAGGCTCCCTTTCTTTGTTGGGTGCTCCTCGTTCTTTTTTTTTTTTTTTAAGATTTTATTTTTTTTTATTTTGAGAGAGAGAGAATGAGAGACAGAGAGCACGAGAGGGAGGAGGGTCAGAGGGAGAAGCAGACTCCCCGCTGAGCAGGAAGCCTGATGTGGGACTCGATCCCGGGACTCCAGGATCATGACCTGAGCCGAAGGCAGTTGCCTAACCAACTGAGCCACCCAGGCGCCCCGGGTGCTCCTCGTTCTTACCGCATCCTAACACCTAATATTCGTATCACAAGGCTTTCCTATAAGTGGGTGGACATGATCAGCTTTAAACAGCCCTAACCTCCTTTTAATAACAAAAATAGGAAACACAGGAAGGATAATAGTCAAATCTTGCAATTCAGTTGAAGAAACTGGTACTGAGTGGAGGCTGGTCTGAAATAGCTCCTATATACTAGACCTGAGGGTGTGAGTCCCGTATGTCCTGACCGGCTGATATAATAGCTCAAGGGGCTAATTTGCTCCTGGGCTTCATAAACAGACAGGGTGTCAGGGTTGGAGAGAGGGCACCCCACACTGGGGAGTGCCCAAGAGCGGTGTTATTCAACCAGACGTCCTTCCCAGAAGAGTGGTCAGGACGGGCTGGGATCCAGATGCAGCATCTGAGGTGTAGCTGATGGACCTGGGATGTTTATTTAGATCCAAAAAGATGAGTCTTGAGGTGGTTTTCCAATGTTTGAAGGGCAGCAATGTGGCCACAACAGGACTCATGGGTGAAAAGTTTCAGGAAAGCCCAAACTAGGAAGGTCAAAGTTGTCCAATAACATTCAGCCCTCGCTTCTGCAAGAAACTCCCATCACTGGGATTCGAAAGCAGAGTCAACGTGACAGGTGTCTGGAAGGCTGTGAGAGGGATTTCTGTCCTCAGAGGGAGGCCGCATTTGTCCTTCACATTCTGACCTTTGGGAATCTATTTCCCACAGTTTACCTAACTCCTCCTTGAGACTGTTCACGATTTCTGCCCTGAACAATTTGGTACAGTTAAAAGAGACCATCCAGGGGCACCAGGGTGGCTCAGTCGGTTAAGTGTCCGACTCTTGATTCTGGCCCAGGTCATGATCTCAGGGTCCCGAGATCGAGCCCTGCATCAGGCTCTGCGATGGGCATGGAGCCTGCTTGAGATTCCCTCCCTCTCCCTCTGCCCCTCCCCCACCATGCACACACACACACACACACACACACACTCTCTCTCTCAAATAAATAAATAAATCTTTAAAATACATACATACATACATACATACATACATAAATAAAAGCGACCACCCAGCCATTGCCACTGGCCACCGGCATCATCACATCGCCTTAAGAAGTAACCCTTGACCTCTGACTCATGGCCTGTGATCCCTCCAAGCAGCATCTTTCTGAAAGCCTGCCTCTCCGGGGCCTGGAACTCTCAGCCCTCCAGGATCTCTGTGACCCCACGGCCCGGGGAGCTTCCGCCGGCCCCCTCCAACCCGCCCTCTGAGGCCTGAGCGCCACTGCAGCCCAGGGCCCAGCCTTCTTTTCTTGGGTTTCGAGCTCCATGTGAGTGATGTCTGCATCTGGCTGGAAATTAAAACAACTGTCTGCATTGCATTCGGCCTGTCTGTCAAAACACAGCCCGGCTCTCAGCAGCTGGGGAAGGCGGCCCTGAATGGGAGCAGTGTCTCCAGCAACAAAGCCCACTTTCACGCCAAGTGCCACGGAGATAGTGAGAACCCTGTTCTTCTCCAAACATGAAACCAATAGCACAACTATTTTTCCTGTTTCCTGGGCCCTCCTGGTGGGAATTTCTCTCTCTCTCTTTTTTTTTAAGGCACTGAGTTGAAGAGCAAAGTGAAACAGGAAACTTCTGGGGTGGGGGTGGTTCTAAAACCTGAATGATTCTCTCCTCCGAGATCTACTAGCCAGGCACAAACCAGAGGCAAGAAATGTCACCGGGACTGGGAGGAGACCCTCCACGTCAGATGTTTCTGTGGGTTCTCTGTCTTTTCTATATTCCTGTGTTTCCATATTCATTCATCAGCCCAGATTCATTGATCACATCCTACATATAGAGAGGGGCTAGTGCTAGGCACTTCAGGGGAATGAAAGCAACTGCACATTAAAACATAGCCATCAACTTCAAGTTGCAAACAGACCCGCAGGGAAAAGACAAGAGAGTGATGTGTGCTCTAAGGTACTGCAAGAGAGCTGAGGGGATTCGGAGCAAAGAGAAAATACTTTTATGTCTGCTGTGTCCAAAGCGACAGCCACTAGCTCGTGTGCTTATAAGCACCTGAAATGTGGCAGGTTCAAACTGAGATGCGCTCTAAGGACACAAGACGCCCTGGGTTTTGAAGATTTTGTATGGAAAAAAAAATGTAAACGATCATATTAATGCTTTTTTTATTGACACATGTTAAAAATGAAATTTTTTCAGATACTGGGTTAAATAAAATCTATTATTAATTCTACTTCTTTCCTCTGACTTCTAGTTTTCTAGCTGCTAGAAAAGTTGCAAGTATACACGGAGCTTGCATTTGCGGCTTGCGCTTTGTTTCTCTGGGCCAGTGCTGCTCTAGATGGGAGTCCCAGGCAGGTTCTGTGAGAAAACAAGGCAGGGGCCTGGGTCTTGAAGGGTGAATCATTGACACAGATGGAGAGCGCTCCAGGTGGAAAGAGTCACCGCACGAAGGGGAGAGCAGAGTTTCTTCAGCAAACCTTGCGTGAGAGCGAGGGAGCGGTGGGTATAAACCTGGAGAGGCAGGTTTGGCTTAGGCTGGGAAGGACAGGGAAGACCACGGGACTGGGGACGTATGAAGTGGCTTTGCTCTCCAGACTGCCACTGCGTGGCCAGAAGAATGTCCTCCAGGAAGAGGGGGCCCAGGAGCTCTCAAGGAGCAACAACTCTCCATGCATGGTCTGGACCCAGCACTGTTGGCATGACCTGTGAGCTTACGAGACAAGAAAACCCAGAGCCCACTGAGTCAGAAACTCTGGGATGGGGCCTGAGCGATAGTTCTAACAAGCTCTCCAGCTATTCTTAGGACCGAAAGATTGGGAGCCACCGATGCAGATAACCTCACTCCTTGGGAGAGTCTTTTTAAATGTCAGGTCCCCAGGCCAGAAAGAAATGGAATAAAACTTGGCTTTGGGGCTATGGAAGGAACGAGACTGCTTTAGGGGAGCAGGAGAAGGGGGCATTCTGGGGACTGCTTTATGTCCAGGGAGAAATTGGCCCTGATAACTCTGAGTCTATGGAGGCCCTAACGGACCAAGTTCGAATCTCGGAAATCTGGAGGCTTCATCCGGCATCCCCAGTGACAGGCGGGCACCTGCTCTGGGACTGGGTGGGGTGGGGCAGGACGGGGTAGGGATGGGAGTGGTCTCAAGAAGCTCAAGAAAGAGCTCGAGCTTTCTCCTGCAGAGCATCCACTGAGTCAAGGCGGCACTTTGTCAGGGCTGACTCAGAGTTTAATGGGACATTCTGTGATGCTTTAA